CTGGCAACCCTCGGTGCTACTGGACTCGAATCTAGCCGAAAAGCTCATTCTTTTGTTTATTCTAGAATCCCGATTTGTAGCCCTTCTGCCTGCAAAGACAGCTCAAAAGTGTGAAATCTCAGAACAGACCCGTGAAGGGCAGTGAGGGGGTGGCAGAGGAGACGAACCCTGGTGGAACTCCCTGCCAGAGGACATTTGTGCCCCATGGGATTAACTACCTTTCCGCAGGGCTTGCGAGGCAGAGACGTTCCGCCGGGCATTTGGTTCAGGACACCAACGGTCAGGCGCTCCCCCCTCCCCCCTATATTTCCCCTCCATCCAGGGAGAGCAGGCGGACCCCGAAATTATCCCTCATCTTGGACACAGTTTCGTTTTTTCTGAATTGTTTTAAATATATCTTAATGTTGTTTCGATTTTCTTATAAATTGTACTTGCCTTTGATGTAAGCAGCCCTGAGATCTGTTTCAGGGAAGGGCGGCCTAGGAAACGGAATGGAACGCATTAAATCGATCCCGTCATGAAGGGTGCATAGCAGAAATGCCCCATTGATCCCTTTTCAGCTTTCCATGACCAGCCAAAGCAAAATAAATGGTTCAAAAATAATAATAATAATAATAATTCAAGTGTGATATGCAGCCATCCTTCATTTCTGTCCTGTACACAGGTTGCAGGGTATAACTTTTTCTTTCTTGCAGAATATGGGGGAACCTTAATGGAAAACCTTGATTTAAGAAACAGTAGTATTGAGCTGGAAACCTTGTGATTTAAGAAACAGTAGTATTGAGCGTACTGTTGTTCAGAGAAGTGATGGTGGATGGGGAATTGCAGTGGGAAAGAGGGAGGCGGGAGAAAGACCCTTCCGTGCCTGCACTTCATTTCCCACCAATGCATCCCCCCCCCTCACCCCCAATTGCAGTGCTTTACAAGCTGGAAGCAGATATCAGATCAGGGATCCTTCTTTTGTTATTGAACAGAAGCACTGGCTTTAGACCGGGGGGGGGGGGGGGGGATTTGACCCTCGGATTTTACGGTACCTTCCACACTCCATGCCGCTCTCGCTTCCTTTGACCCTCGGATTTTACGGTACCTTCCACACTCTATGCCGCTTTCGCTTCCTTTGACCGTCAGATTTTACG